TTGACTTGATTTGTAGATAGTTTATACTCATATCAAGGAGTTCTTCATTTGACATAATTTGTAGATAGTTTAAACTCGTATCAAGGAGTCTTGATTTGATTTGACAAATAGTTTATACTCGTATCAAGGAGTCTTCAATTTTGTAGACATTTTATGCTCGTGTCAAGGAGCCTTCAAGTTTGATATGTAGACCTTTTATTCTCGTGTCAAGGAGATCTTGATATGAAGACATTTTATGCTCGTGTCAAGGAGCCTTCAAGTTTGATTTGTAGACCTTTTATTCTCGTGTCAAGGAGATCTTGATATGATGACACTATATGCTCGTGTTGATGAGCCATATAGATAGTTTAGGCTCACATCAAGGAGCATATGTAGATAGTTTAAGCTCATATCAAGGAGCATTTAAACATGTAGACAGTTTAAGCTCATATCAAGGAGCATTGCAGATAGTTTAAGCTCGTATCAAGGAGCATTTGAATGTGTAGATAGTTGAGGCTCATATCAAGGAGCATTTGAATATTTGATGGAGCTCTTCATGTGAATTGTCCCCATGCTTCATGACTTGGGAAGACATCATTCTTCATTGCCCCCATGTATAATTTCTTCAAAATGGTCTTCATGCATCTTCAAAGATCTTCGAACTTGATTTGGAGAGAAGAGATGAGAGGTAGAAATGGTCCCACTGGGCATGCCAAATTTGTAACAACAAATTTTATGAAAAACATAAAACTTTTGTACAACTTGTATATTTCGATCAAACGATATGACGGGTACGATCTCTATTTATCTCCTCTGATTCTTCTCTTCATGAATTTGGGATTGAGACTTTCAGAGATGGATTTGACGAATGAATCTCCTTCGGGCTTGGTCTTGAATTTCTCTAACATTAATTTGGGGGTCGAATGACTTATTCCCGTATTAAATGTTAGGCTTGACTTGATTGAATATGACTTTTTGGAAGACTTGATTCTTTGATCTTCTTGAAAGAGGGACTCTGACTTGAATAATGTTGATTCGGAGGCTTGATAGCTTTTTCCCGGATCAAACGCTATGTTGGTTGAACTTCTCATTGAACGCGGCTTGAATATCGCTTGAACGTCGTTGATATTCTTGGATTGACTTGAGAAGCGTGAAAGTCATCTCTTTACTTCTTAAGGAAGACCCGCCGCCTCTTTTTCTTCTTCTTGGCCTTCTTCTTTATTGAATGGACTTCGGGCGGTTCAAGAACTTCTTCAAATCTTCAAGAGGGTTCTTGAGAACTCTTGAATTTGAGACTTAATATTTGAGATGTGTTTGAGATGTTTGAGGTGTTTGAGGTGTGATTTGTGAGATTGAGGAGAGCCTTATTTATAGGTGTAGGAGAGAGAGTCTTGGAAAAGAAGACTTTAATTTGATTGGTCCTTCATGATTTGACATAATCTCCTTCTTTATCCTAAGATTTGATATATTCTCTTTCCTTATCCTAAGATTTGACTTGGTGGGCAAGAAACAATTACTTTATTAATTAAAAATCTTATTTATCTTGGATTTATGTCCCAAAAATAAATAAAGATATTAATTAATAAAATACTAGTGTGGTACCCGTGCGATGCACGGGCTAGTTTTATTATGGAAAATATTTAGATTGGATGACTGAAAAAACGTAAAACTCATATATTAGTATAAACAAAATATAACTTATATATTAAAAAATGCATTATTGTATACAACATTATTTGTTTTCCCTTTTGTTAAATCGTTTACCGCCACAAATTAAAATTTTCAAACACTTAAGATTCGTAGCGCGTGAAACATGCACAAAGCTGGCCGTGAAGTTTACATATATTAGGATTCTGGACATGTTTAAATAAATCGATTAAATTATTTAGCAGGATATATCTTATATGTTTTATACTTGTTTTATGCATATTGCATAGCAAAATATAACGGATATCGTAAAACGTCTTTCGTGATAATTTATAGTTAATTCGAATTTTATATTGCCAAAAAAATATATATATAAATAATAGTAGTTTAATAGGAAGTTCATATATATGAGAATATGTGATTGTATTTTTTTCTAATTGAAAATTTTCATTCAGCTAGATTTTTCGAATAAAAAATGAGAAAGGATTTTGATTTTTAGAAAACCGTAAACACTACCAAAATCTACCAAAATTAAATCTACAATACCCATCATTTTAGGGTGCATTTAAGGGGTTAATAAATTAAAAAAATTAAAAAAAAACTACCGGCATGCAATAAATGTGGACCGATTTTATGGCAACTCAATGATAAGGTATTTAAAAATTAAAATTTTATATTTGAAATGAGACCTAATTATTTTCAATTAGATTTTTTGAATAAAAAATGAGAACGGATTTTGATTTCTATTTAATTGAGAATGAATTTGATATCTGAAATTTTCAAAAAATACATCAACAAAACCCATCAATTTAGGGTGCATTTATGGATGCCGATTTCTTGGGTTAAGATTAAAAGAAAATTAAAAAACTGTTGAAATTGGAATGCGTTAAATGTTGGTTGATTTTTATGTTAATAGTTTTTTGTAAATAGGCTGTCTTTTTATATATTTATATATTTGAAGACACTTACAATTTTCCTAAACTATTTTGAAAAAAAAAAACATGTATAAAAAATTTGTATATTAAAGTGTCGGGGTCAGACAATGTAAAATTATTTTGTATAAGAGAATATAAATTTCATATTATTTTTTATAATAGAATATAAAATTTGTATGTTTAATATTAAAAACACCTAAAATATTATATTAGTATATGTAAAAGTATTCAAAATTTTCTATATTATTTTTAAAAGATATGAAGTCACCTACGACTTTTCTAAACAATTTTAGAAAAAAAAACATATCTAAAAACATTTGAATTTAACATTATGTAAAAAGAAATTCTAGACTATTTTGTAAAAAAAGCATGTCTACGAATATTTAAATTTAACATCAATTATGTATATGTGTATATGTGTATATATAGACGAAAAAAAAAAAAAAAAAACAAATGTCTAAATAATTTGTTTAAAATAACTAAAATATTATAAGGCTAATTTAATAAACACATACGGTCAAAAATCATGAAAAAAAAACAAATATCTACACATTAAATCAGATATAATGTTTCGAAACAAATCAACACAATATCTGTTATTTTGTTAACCTAAAAAAATAGGAAAAAAAAACATCACAAAAACCAACGGGCAGTTTTTTTGTTAACACTATATCACTATTTATTTAATGATTTTAGAGGGAAAATAATGATTTTAGCTGTTATTTAATGATTTTAGAAGGAAAATAATGATTTTGGCAGGTATTTAATATTTTGGAGGGAAATAATAGTTTTGGCGGGAAATCATAAAAATGTTATTCTTTTAATATATTGATAGATTAAAATTTCGATGTCTACACTACTGTCACTATATCTACAATTATCGTCACTATATCTACAACAATTGTAGATATATTGACAGTAGATATAGTGACAACATAGTGACAACAATTGTAGATATAGTGACAAAAAAATTCTTCACTAAAACTCTATTTGTTTGTAGTGTATTACGTTTGCGAATGAATCTGGAAATTGAGTGGATGACAAGAAGAATCCGTCTCGTGCTTTCTAGAATTTGCCCCTTTTTTTCTTTCCTTTTTTTTCTTGTATGGTTTGATTTTGCTTTTAATAATAACAGCTTTAAGCTTTTGTGGGTGTTTAAGAGTTTGCAACCTTGCACATATGTGTTGAAAATGTACCTAATTCGAAGGTATATTTACAACACATATACCAACATCTCAAATCAAGGTATATTTACTATAATCATTGAAATATATACAACACATTCACCAACATTTTCTTATGGTATATTTTATTTATATATATTAAACATAAACTGAATATATACTAACATAAATGCAACATATACCCACCCTGGACACCTGCGTGAATTACAATACATGTTTTTTTTCTTTTTTCTTTTTGGTATGTGTAATGGAATATACACGATGATTAAGGGTGAAGCGTTTTATTTGTATGGTTATTCATGATTTATAGTTAGTATATTTTCAATACATTTTCAGTATATTCTCAAAAAAGCAATATTAAAAAAACGATATATATCATTAAAAAACGATTAAAATAAACTATATATATACCATTAAAAACTGTATATATACCATTAAAAATTTGAAAAACTCATTTAATGAATTATCAAATATAAAACAAAAATATAAAAAAAAATACAAAATGAACCTATTTTTTTAGGTTGAAATGGATATATTAACTACTTTTAGGCATTAATATAGTCAAATATGGTCTCAAACAACGAAAATCAAGGGATTGAGATTGTAATGGATATAGTAACCTCTTTTAGACATTGATATAATTAAATGTGGTATTTTAAGTAAAGACATAATTAATTATATTTGTATGGTAGAGTTGTAAATATTTATAAATCAAGTAGAAAATATGAAAATTCCCCTAAAATAGAATATGAGGAGAGTTGGGAGCAGCACTTTCCGTGCATGAATTACTTCTCAGAAATCAGTTATGTTACATGAAAGAACATGATTGAGGATGTAAACTTTCACATAATACACGTGGCAAATTAATTTGCTGCCATTGTGCGTTTCAAACGTTGCAGGATCAAAGAGTTTGGTCCAAACAAGAAGCAATACGATCTGTACTTGGAGCTTTTTAGCACATGGTAACGTGAAATGTTGACCTTTGGGTTTGATCCATTTCCAAGGAGCATATTCTATTAGGACTTAGGAGTTTGTAGAATTTTTAAGACGAGTGACATACTGATAATTGCATTGGACAGATAATTGCATTAAACAAACATGATGTTTAACTCTGCCAAGCAAATTATATGCCAACTAGCTGCCATAGAGAATATATGAATAAGCACACAGCTC